TGGAGATTTGTAGATCTTAGTAAATACACTGGGCAAGAGACTTGGAATTCAGTACAATCTTAGGCCAGTTGTGGAATTTTATTTTAAAATCATTGAATATAACCATTGGAAGTGACTTTAGAGATTATTTTAAGATACCCCTTATTTTTGTTGACAAGGAAATTGATACTCTTAGGTTAAAGGATTTCAGAAGGCTAATTACTGACAGCCCTGAGGCTCAGTCCCATTGACTGGGGCTCTTTTTTGCCCAGATCATACCTTTTTTTTCATGACCACACTCATTGAACCATCTTTCACATTGAATCAGTATGTTGCTTTTGTGGAGCTACAGATTCTTGTATAGACAAGCAGAATGGGTCATACTAACAATATCGATTATTTCTGATGCGGTTGTAAGGCATCAGGATTGCCCTGCTCTTCCTAGGTATCATTTCTGCAAGGCAAATGTAAAAAATCTGGTAGTGCCTCCTTTGCCATCACAATAGGGAGGTCTGTCTGGATAACAAAGGTCTGCTCAAATAAGGAGATGATTTTTCTTTAGTTAACCTTTAGTGTGTGAAGGGACAGAACTCTGAAACATAAAATGGGAACCATTTACCTCAATTCACAAGGACACTATGGCTAAAGCCTTTTTGACTTGGTGAACTAGCTTGCTGACCAATTCTGTACAGCTTGTGGGTCCGGCTGGTCATTGGAAAGTTCTCACAGCATGTCCATGATCTGGAAGAGGGCCCGGTGGGTAGGGATTTAAGCCTGTGGGAGCTTCATTACTTCCCTTTCACAAAGCCCAGCATTCCTTACGTTTCTGGATGCCATCCATGTATCTTTCTTAAAATCCATTGCTTTTTCCTGCCCTATCTTACTAAGTGTCTCAGAGAAATTAATGAGTTTTTCTCAGTGGGCCTTTCTTTCTCCCCTTCCTTTCCCTTCCCTCCCCTCCTCTTCTCTCCTCTCCTTTTCCTTCCTTCCTTTTCTCTTCCTTTCTCATCCTTTCTAGATATAAATGTCTTCTAAAGAGAAACATTGAACCATCAGTATATAAATCTATTGAAGTAAAACAATGCTCGGAGTATTTTCTTTTAACTCAGATTCCATGTGTTTTCCTTATTTTAAACTATTTGTTAACAGATAAAAAAACTGAATTGACCCACCCTCCAGTCCCCTTTGTTTCTTTCTTCCACCACCAAAGAAGTATTTGTTTCTATAATTGCCTTTAGGAGTACATACTGAGTTGCTTTTTAAAAAGTTAAGCATATTGTCAAGTTTCTACTTCTTTTGTTGAGAATCTCATGTGCTAAAGAAATATAAGTACTTCTGTATGTAATAATAAAATATTGAGCACATTTCATATTTAATATAATCCTCTAAATATATTAACTGGGAAGACTTTGAGTGACATGCTAACTCGTGTGTCTTCTACTTTTAAGAGTACTTATGTGTTTTGTAATTATTGCTTGACAGTTTAGGTGAAATTTGCATGTTTTAAGAGGTTTTCTAAAATGATTAAAGTTTAAAGACTTTGTTTTTAATTAAAATGATTAAGTCTTACTTGGGCTCTTCCTGAGCCTGCTGTATCATGTTTTTAAAAAAACTTCTCATTGTGAAATATAAAACACATACAAGTCAATAAACAGAAATTTGCCAGCACCTCCAAAGTCCCACTGTGTCTCCTCCCAAACAGTATTTCACTCCCCCATCCAAATATAACCACTATTCTGATTCTTATATCAAGTCTTGCTTTTCTTTAGTCTTATAACCCAAGCATGCATCATAAACACTGTAATTTAGTTTTGCCTGCTTTAAAAAAAAACAAACCTCATATAAGTGGATTCAAACAATGTATTCATTTGTATTTGACTTAATTTTGCTCATTATTATGTTTGAGTCAACATTATATGCAAACAGTTTTCAAAAAATTTAATTACATGGGAATAATTTAATAGGAAAAATAGTAAAAGGATTTAGTACTTAAGATGCCTGTTTTATTACTGCCTCTAATGTTTGTCTCTAAGCAGCAAAGACAGCTTTGACAAGCTTCTTGAACTCTCAGTATCTCCTTTTTCTTCTCTAAAGCATGATAAAATGGGTTTAAATGATTGATGGGACCCCTTTAGCTCTAACATTTGATGAAACTGGATAAATAAATGTTACTCTATCTTTAATTTCTTTCATTTTTGTTTTCATTAGGTTGTCTTGGAGATACGCAGTTTTGTTTTAGATTTCGACAGTCTTCTAGGAGGAGGGTGTCACTTCACTGTCTCCTGGATCAGTTTGACAAAGATTTACCAGTTTACTTAAAGGTTGGAAAAGTAGTAGTAGAAGAATATCTATGTGAGAGGAAACAGTTACTGTTAACACTTAGAGCTTTCTGAACTATTTCGCTTTTGTTTTCTTATGATGTCATACTGCTGAGTTTCCTAAGTGAGTCTAATTCATAAGGACTCAGCATGTGAATGAAAGAGACTTTGTAAAGTTACTGTTCTTGAAATATTATAATACCATTGTGAACTGTAGTAATTGATTAGAATGTTGAGGCAGTTTTTTCTGGTATGGACGTGGGGTGGTACTATACCAGTAAATATTATCCAGAATTGAAGATTCCATGTGTAATCCCTACCTGCTTTATGATAGAATTATGGTTGTCTCTGTGATTTTTTAATGAGGTTCATTTTATAGTTATTGCTTATTAAAAACAATTTTAATAATTCATGATTCCAGACTATAGCTTTCTGTTTGGTATTCCACACTTAAATCTCTAACTGCTAGAGGAATGTTTCTATGTGGATGTCACATCAGAACACCCAGTATGAACTTGACATCATTTGCCTAAAATCAGCATTTACAGTTTACCTGCCTGGCTCCACTCATGACTCCCAGTTAACAAAGATACTACCTTTGAAGTGTCTCTTATAGCCATCTACTCCTTTCCATGACCTCTGCTAATATTATTAACATATTCTTTCAATTGATGATAATAATAGCTACTGTTTATTAAGAGCTTTTTAAGTTCTAGGCACTGTATTAATAAGCAGATGTTATCTCATTAATCCTCTTTACAGTGTTCTGAGAGAGTTCCTTTTGCAGATGAGGGATATTGAGGATAAGAAATTTGCCCAAAGGCATCCCACCTCTTGTTTTTACCAATGCAGTATATTATACACAGTGTTGCCAGTTCAAGTGTGTATATGTATTATATAAAGATAAATTGAATCTGAAATGACTACCTATTGCTTAATGAATGAAGAGTTAAGGATAGTACTGTTTCCTTGTACTCACTTTTTGGGCCTTCCAAAATAAGACCATTACTTTTCCAATTACCAATTTCATCTTTTTCTATACATGTGCCATATTTCAGTCAAACTGAACTATGTGCTTTTCCCTGACTTAGCTTGTATGTTCTTGTCTCTGCATGTTTTTGTTCAGACTCCTGGCCCTCTAAACCTGTAATGTCTTTGTCTTTGTTTAAATCATATCCATCCTTCAATGTTCAATTCCAGAACACCTGCCTCCCTGAAACCTTTACTGAATCCCCACAGACAGAGGTAATCTCTTCCCCTTGGCCTCCTTGGAACACTCTGCTGTTTATGGCACTCGCCCTCCTAGTACATAAGTCATTTCTGTGCTTTTCTCACTCATCTTAGATTGTGAACTCCTTAGGGAGCTTTGTCTTAACACATCTTTTTATCGTCTTTAACACAATGTCTTATTCAAAGTAGGTGGTCCATAAATATTTTGTTTAAAGAATAATAATCAAATAAGGACCTGGCCAACATTTATTCCATTAGCATGTAAACTCTTCTTAAGTGTTTTGGAATGTAATTACCTTTCAAATTTCCAATGTCTTATTATTATTTGGTAAAATTATAACTAGCTATGTAAGATTCAAAGAGGCATTGAACTCCTTTTATTTTCTCTCTTGAAATTTTACATCAGGATACTTCATTTCATTAAGACTGTCCCTAAGTCAAATATTAGGCAGAAGTATAAAAAAGACCCCATTAAATAGAGTTCTGGGGAAGCAGAATTTGATTGTTTCCTAACATTCATTAGCTAGTAAAGATATGAATAAAAATATAAGCTGAGTAGGATATAGGGGGGGAAATCTGACTTTAGTACTTCAGTTATAATTATTTCATCTTTGGGCAAGTTAGCTGGTTTTTATCTGGAATTACTGTTATGATTCTTGTTTGTTTTGGTGGACAGAAGCGTAGCTAGCTCTTTGTGTATACCTTGTATCACAGTTTGGGTTTATAAAGAACCTCATGTTAATATTAAAGGATGGAAATACATATATGTTTTATTTGTTGCTTCTTTCATAGAAGGATCCTGCTTATTTTTATGGATATGTGTATTTCCGGCAAGTTCGAGATAAAACTCTAAAAAGAGGCTACTTTCAGAAGGTAATTTTCATATGCACTAGTAGAATATTTTTATACTGTGGTTAGAAAAATACAAACTGTTAGGATGAACAGTCTTTAAAGTTTTTGATATTTTTATCTTAAAACATACTGGAGTTTATATTTATCTTTTTTTTTTTTTTAGATCATAGACACTTGTCCCTAGATTTTTAACTGCTATTGAATTTTGCCTTCCTGCCATCTCTGTGCTAGATTCCTGACAATAAGCTACAGTTATTGTGTGAAACTATCAAAATCCGGAAAAATCTGCTTAATATTCACATTTTATAATAAGGGAAAGAGTAAACATATTGTAAAATTGTTACAACTAATAGAAGCCTGCTCCATCTTTTTGAAGAGCCATTAAATATATTTCAGCAACATCTTAGACATTACTGTTTCCACTTAAATATACAATCATTTTCTTTCTTAACAAAAAAAAATCATTTGGTTCTGATTTAGACCCAGGTAACAGGGACATAACTTCTTTTGCAACTAAATTGGCACCTTGACCACTAATTGATACTGGATGGAAAGGTAAAAAGTAGTTTTCAAGAAAAGTAGATTGTTCTTAAAAAGATGAGTATAATCTATATCTGAAGTGATCAAAGTATAAAGTCAGAATTTCTAAGTATGTGTCTAGTACCATTAAACTCTAAAATAAAATAGTCATAGGCCTTAATTTGAAAAAACATCACAATCTGCTTTTTTCTTATTAGGAAGAATTCATCTGGCTAATTCCTGATACTGCCTGGCTAATGACAACAATAGCTAGGCTTTGGATATTACCCCTGACATTAGTCTGTTTATAGGAAATTCTTTTTCCTGGAAAGTATGAGAATCTGTGAATATGCCTTTATGCTCTTAAAGTATAGTAATAAGGTTATACCTTTTACATTCTGCAATTGTAGTTTTATGTTCTAACCATCTTATTGTAAAAGGCTGTACTTAAAAATCTACTTTTTGCTGAATTTAGTTTGCTGATAATTGATTCTGTAAAAGATGACAAACTTAAATGATAATCATTAGTAAATTTTAAAACACATTGTTTCTTTTTTCTCTCCAGTCCTTGGTTTTGATCAGCAAACTACCTTATATTCATTTTTTTCACACTGTGCTCAAACAGATAGCACCAGAGTATTTTGAAAAGAGTGAACCTTATTTGGAAGCAGGTAAGTTAAATACTGTGTGAATTAGGTACCTTTATGAAGGAGTTTTAAAAATTTTATGGGAAATGGGTGATAAAAATGAAGTTGACTTCCTAAAAAAAATTAGTTAAGAATTTTAAGAGCTATATAGTGGGAGAGAGATGTAAAATTATTCTTCTGGTATCTTGACCTATAAACGCCAAAGACCATATCTTTTATTATCTACTTTACAACATATATGATGCCTATTTACTAGGATAAAAATAAACAAATATTGAGCTGCCAGTTCTAATACTCAGAGTACTGTTGAACAGAAATCCTTATGTCACTTGTTGCAGAGAGAAGGCCTCTGCCAGGTGGTATGCTTTTTGTAGCTAATTTTAGTAGTAATAAATGAACAGGAAAACTCCTTTTAAACTTACATTGTTTAAAAAAAAGTTAGTAGGCAGTTTACTTCCTAGAACAAACATGTATTTCTGTTGAAATGTATTTTCACTTGTTTTGCTCTTTTACTTTTTATCCTCCATCCTTCCCAGTATATTTTTCCTGTTCTAAAAAAAGCAGAAAGGAGTTCTAATTTCTAATGTCCCATTTTCCCTATCTTAATATTTCCACTTATACTAAGGAAACATTTTATTATATTTTCCAGCTTGTAATGATGTTGATCGATGGCCTGCCCCAGTGCCAGGGAAAACATTACAACTGCCTATCATGGGGGTGCTGATGAAGGTAATAGCTTGTATGTCACTTGTCGCCTTTTAAAAGAATTCTAGGAAGTTTACTTTACACGTGCAATGCACTTTTTAACTCCCTAATGACATTCAGTCCTATTATTGCTTTCACTTTGTCACTGATGTGGGGAGTTGCAGAGATACCGCAGTTCGTCCTACTGCACAGCGCCATTAGTCACACAACTCCAGGGGCCCGCCAGTCTCGTTTCATCCCGTGGAGTTTGCGTGAGAGTGTCATTCTTATACAATACATGTGAATGTAAATGCCACCCCCCAGCATTCTGCAATTCCATGGCCCTCCAGAGACTGCAGAACACTTGGCAGAATCAAGTATGAATTAGTAAAACTTAAAAGAAATTAGGAAATACATTGGTTCTTAGTCTTAAATGATCTTCTGATGTAGTGTCAGATCAAGCATGTCTATCCCAGGGTATTAAGGTATTATTATTCCTCATTAAGTTTTCTTCCTTTTTTTAAGTAAATTAGCATTTTGCTTTTTAGGCTTTGTATGAATGTGTTCTAAGTGCTTTTGCAATTCATTTTCAAATTAGGCTTATTTTTGGCAACACTCTCTTTAGATGTGCTCATTTCGGTAGGATCTGTATTCTGTTCTTTCCCTGGGAAATCATCAAAAGCAGCACTCATAGCTCTGGGGTGAGCATTCCCAGGGTTTCCTGTGAGACTCATCCCAGCGTTTGGCAAGCTGGAGAGGGTGTGTTTGGGTGTGTGTACGTAAATGAGGCAAAGATTGGAACAGTAAACAGGAAGCAGTATGAAGCTGATGTCCCTTTTTTGTTTTTCAGCACATTTGCTTTTCAGTGGGTTAGTGTTAGTGGAAACCTTGGTTCATTTACCTTCTGCTGTGACCAAAAATAAATATAACTTCAGTTTTTTAATCTGACATATATATTTTGTTTTTATGGCATTTTATGGCTTTTTAGCATCAGCATAGACCACTTCTGGTCCCTCATGGTAGTGGGACCCACGAATTGTAGAAAGGTTATTCTTTGGCAGCCAAGTTACTTTCTTCTGTTTCTCCTTAAGGTGCGGATCCCCACATGTCATGACAAACCTGGAACAACTCAAATAGTGCAGTCAACTCAGCAGGTAGTGTGGTACTGCAGTAGAATAATCCAGCACATGTAGTCTCTTAACATTGTTTTTAAGATAGCAAATGCCAAGTTTCTTGGGCTAATGATGTATTTCTGAGTATTAATGAAATATCTCATTAAGTGATTTTTTAATGCATTGATAATAAGCTTCCTAATGTTTCTCAGATGTTTTTTCTTTTTCTTTCTATGGTAGACACTGGGGAACTCAGAATCTATACTGTAATTATGATAACAAGGAGACTTTTTTCAACTAAGTTTAGTTCCAGCAGAACTTATCTTAGAAGAGTGGTCAGCAGACTTCTGTTTTTAGGAAACTCAGTCAAAAGGATTCTGTGGTCATGATTGCCTTTCATCTTCCCCAAAGCTACATCTGTTTTCATGGGTGGGGTTGAATTTTTCATTTGGAATATTTCAGCTGTTGTATTAACACTCCCGTTGTTCCTTTGATGGAATAAAAATGAGGAGCAGTAGGAAAACTGATTTTGCCAGTGTTGTGTATCAGCTTGGATGATGGTATATTTCATACAGCGTGACTTGACCTAATATCTGACTGTTGGATTAATGCTTTATCCGTGGAATCTCAGTTATCTTTGACCTTGTGCTTGTGTGAGAGGAAGTTTTAAGACCTTTTCTCATCATGGCTGCTCCTGGAGGAAAATAATATAAAAGAAGGGGCAGCATGGTTTATTGATCATGAGATAGCTAAGCATATTTTAAAAGTCAATTTCTGTACATTCTAGTGACATCTCTCTTTTTTATTTTCTGTCTCTTAGGCAGACACACATATATCTGTTATTTTACCTACTGTTCATGAAGTGGATCTTTTCAGGTAAAGAATACAAAATTTTGTTACCTGCCTCTTTTGCTGTGTGATATTGTTGATTTCTTCAGAAAATGAATATTCTTAGCATGAAATGTGGAAAAAACTGGAAGAAAATAGTCATGTTTCACATGTTAAAAATCAGTTGTTCAACCCTGACTAAAAGCCCTGATGAGCTCTGACCATCAGGGAGGTCAGGCTGTGGATCGAGTTCTATGTGGTAGAAACAAATTATTTTTTGTTGGGTTTGGCGTGAGGATGGCATTGTAATGATGTAAGAAAGTGCGCTCACTTTTAGAGATGTATTTTCAAGTATTTTGAGGTGAAATGTCAAGGCTTGTGTTTTATTTTAAAATACTTCGGCAAGAAAAATAAGTGAGGTAAAAATGGCAAAATATTGTTAGCTCCAGATGATAAGAATATGGGGGTTCTTATACTATTGTCTTTATTTTTCTGAATGTTTGTTAGTAAACTGGGGACTTGATGTCCCATCATTCCTAAATCCCTTAGTGTCTAATTTCTTACAAATTAGGACACAATGCAACCATCAAAATTGGGACATTAGCACTGATAAATTAACACCATGTAATAGTAGTAAGGCCACATTCAGATATCATGAGTTGTCGCAATAATTCCTGGTTCAGAATCATCCATTGCATTTAGTTGTCATTTCGCTCCAGTCGCTCTCCTTCAGTCTGGGATGACTCCTCAATCTTCCTCTTAATGCCCCTGACAATTCTTGTGGATTCCAGGACAGTTATTTTGCAGGAAATCCCTCCGTTTGGGTTTGTTTGTCTGGGAGTTATTCACGATTAGATTCAGGTTCTGCCTGGTTTCTGATGTTGTTCACTTTGATCACTTGATCGTGTTCTCCAGTCTTCATTGTTATTTTTCCTTTTGTGATTAAGTATTTTGGGGAGATGCTTTGAAATTATGTATATTAGTTATTTATTGCTGTGTAATAAATTACCCTGATGATTAAGAGGTTTGAAAGAACAAACATTATTTCACGCAGTGTCTAAGGGTTAGGAATCTAGGAACCGTTTAGTTGGATGGTTCTAGCTCTGGAATCTCTACTGAGGTTGTAGTAACAATGTCAGCTGAGGTTTTAGCCAGTTGAACAAGTGGAACTGGAAGACCCGCTTCCTTGAAAGGCTACTTATTTGGCTGTTGGCTAGAAAAATCATAGTTTTTGTGATTATTGACAGTAGACTTCATTCCTAGCCATGTGGACTTCCCCATAGAGCTGACTGAATATTCTTACAATATTCAGCGGGTGATCTTGAGACAAGGTTGAAGCCACAGTGTTTTTTATGACCCAACCTTCAAAGCTGTACCTTGTTACTTTATACTGTTCACTACGTGTGAACCACTAATCCAGCCCACATCTAAGAAGAGAATCAGGCTCCATTTTTAAAAAAGTGTCAAAGAATTTGTAGAAACATTTGAAAACATCACACTATTTATGGGTATCAGTATGGACAGTTTTCTTGTTTTATTCAACAGGTTATTAAGATCCATTATTCTCATCTGTTTTGATATTCAGATTGTCCCCAATTCGGCCAGTGAGAATCTGCTTCAAGCTGGCCTCTGTTTTTTGACATTTCCTCATCATTCTTTAAACACTTCCTTGCTTTCTGGTGTTAGATGTTCCAGGCTTATCTTTTCTTTCTAAATTACAAAAATTGATTTTTAATTCCCATACCATAACATTCATTATTTTAAAGTATATAACTCAGTGGTTTTAAAATATATTCACGAAGTTTGCAACCATCACTACTGTCTAGTTCCAGAACATTTCATCATTTCAAAGAGTAACTCTGTACCTTTAGCAGTTACTCCCCCTTTCCCCTCCCTCCCAGCCCACTAATCTACTTTCTGTCTATGGATTTGCCTATTCTGGAGTATCATATAAATAGAACCATAAACTATGTAGCCTTTTGTATCTACCTCCTTTCACTTAGCATATTGTTTTCATGGTTTATCCATGCAGTGGCATGAGTCAGTACATCATTCTTTTCAAGGCTGAATAATGTTCCCATTGTATGGATTTACCACATTTTGTTTGTCTGTTAATCCATTGAAGGACATTTGGATGGTTTCCACTTTCTGGCTATTTTGTATAATGCTGCTGTGAATTTGTGCCTAAGTCTTTGTGTGGACATACATTTTTAATATTCTTGGGTTCCAAGATTCATCTTCTGTTTTCTCTTTCCCAGCCTTGGAATCAGCCGTTTCTCCAAAAATCCTTGGCTTTTTGAAGTGGAGAATCAGCTTTGAAAACCAGGGTCTGGGCACTAGTCATGCTCATTGCTACTGGGAAATCATTGATTTTAGGCTTGCTCAGTGGACAGAGCCAGGGAATGAATATCTATCTACTATGTATCTATCTGTAAATGCATGCATAGATACCTACTTATATATAAGTACATATTCACATCTGTATTTATTTCTATATCCTTATATATTGAAAACTGTATAGTCACACCAATTCCAGTCCAACATGACAGGGTTCATTGTAGTTTTCTTCCTTTCCATATTTGTATTTAGTTTCTTTAGGTTCTTTGAGGAACTACCTCCCATTGTCCTTGATTTATTTGCTTTTCTTGATTAGTCCCTTGTTAATAATTAATCCCCCATCTCTGCTGAAACCTTCTCCTCCTCTGTGCATATACTTTTCTTACCCTTCTCTGGCTTTGACATTGCACCTGGCTGCCCTTCATGGACACCTTCCTTCCCCTGCAGGCTCTGCTCCATACCAGATTGACTCTCCTACCTCTTTCTTTCTTTCTTTTGTTTGTCATTGACTTTTTTGTTTTTTTTTTCTTTCTTGTATGTGGTTGTGTTTTCAACCAGGTAGACTCATTAAGATTTTTATAAATAGTTAAGTGTTTTTTCTCTAATCTAGGAAAAATTGTTAACCATCCCAGGAAGAAATTACAAAATAAATAAAGTTACCAAATGTCTAAGTAAAGAACTAGAGCTGTGTCCTGAAAGGTTTCCACCTAGTTTAGGGATACTGTAAAAATAATACGCAGCATTTCTGTAGGGGGATGACCTACCCAGGAAATCATTCTGCTCTTTGGCATTAGAACTCCACCTTGTGATTTGTTTTCATCATTTTTCCATTTTGAAAGCATTGGCTTTTAAGTACATCCAGTAAACATCCTTTGGAAAATTAACTTTTCTTGTTTCTTTAAAAAAGATTTAGAATAGAAATTTAAATGTAAGAAAGCAATATTGATAAAGTAGATCTGCCTGTGGTACAACAGTTGAATACTTATTTTATATGCTTTTGTTGTCAGTCATTCTGTCAGTATACATTTAATTTTGTAAAACTTGGAACAGTTCAAATTGATATATATTTTTATATATATCATATTATATGGGACATATTATATGCATTACCATATTCTAAATGAATTTATGCGTAAGATCAGGGTAGAAATACCTGGAAGAATTTATATAAGTATGAAGTTTTTAGAATGATTTTATAGGAACTTATAAACAGGGTTGGATAAGTAATAATGTTTGTGCTGTGTAACCACGTTTCAGATGTTTCTGTCCAGTTTTCCTTCATAGTCAGATGCTTTGGGAGCTGGTGCTGCTGGGGGAGCCTCTGGTGGTCATGGCACCATCACCTTCGGAGTCATCAGAGACAGTATTGGCCCTGGTTAAGTGAGTGTTGTCACGTGAGTTTTGGTCTTTGTTGGTGATAGTTGCAGCACCTTCCCATCTGTGATGTTTGCACACTCACTGCGCTGAGCCATACAACCTGGAAGAAGGCAGTGCTCAGCAGCACCATTTACTGATGGGAAAATTAATTCAGGCTCTGTGAGGGCTGGAATCGTGATTTTGTTTTTCCTAGTAACAAGCACATTCATTCACTTACATGAAGTAAACAACTGATACGTATTAGGCACGTCAATGGTCGGTGTCTAGTAAGCCTGAATGTCACCCTATCTCCTGCTTCAAGTCCAGTGTTCTTTCCAGATGCCCATTATTTAGTTCCGTTTGTTTACCAATGACTTCACCGTCTATTGAAATAGGTTATCCCGCTGGGAGTATGCCACATGTAGAGATGTTTTATGGTTATCGAATTGGCCTTTGATTCCTGTCTTCTTTGCTTCACACATTCTTCTTGTTTCACAGCTGTATTTCTCCATTGAAGTACGTCAGTGATTTCCGACCTTATTTCACGATTCATGACAGTGAATTCAAGGAATATACTACCCGTACTCAAGCCCCGTGAGTAAATGAAATAGCTTACTGAGTATTACCTTTATAACCAAATTATGTAGAATTATTTTTGGTAATAATCTAAAAGTTTAAATTTTGAACTTACTGTGAAGGAAGGTTTGAGTCATTGCTGGTAATAATTTCACATTTCAAGAGTTAGTATTTTATTTTTTTTGAATGGTTTTATTTATTAGTGGGACAGTCATCTGACTGTAGGACTCTTACACTGTCAGTATGTCTTCTTGTCTGTAACTGCCCTTTTCATTGAGTTAGCATATAAACATGAAAGTCTTCCCAGTTTGTGAAAGGGGAAAGGATTGTCTCACCATTTCCCTTTTAGCTCCTGCTCTAGTTATTGCTCACCTTCTTATAGCTACATTTCTAGAATGACAGCAGAAATCTCCAAATCTCCATTTATTCCATCCACTTCTTGGTCGTCTGGCTGCTTCTCAGTCTGTTGCAGGTTGATTTCTCCATCTCCATGGCAGTTGTTCTTGACCAAGTCATCAAGACCCTCCTGACTGTCTGGCCCAGTGGGCACATTATTGCCCTGTTTTTCCTGCCTTTCCTTTCTTGTAACATTTAAGCTGTTACTTTGAAAATACTTTAATCCTTGGTACCACTCTGACGTGGTTGTGAGGTGGTGCATCTCAGTCTCGCTTCACTTTCTCTGCCAGCCCCATAAATGTTGGCATTCTGTAGTATTGTGTTCTAGGTTCTGATTTCAGACTGATAATCTTTTCTGTACCATCTTATCTGTACTCACAGCCTCTGTCAACATTTATATACTGATGGCAGAAGTTTATCTGCCTAACACATGTCTTTGCAAGGTGTAGACCTATATATCCAGGTTTTTGTTGTTTTTACCACATTGCCACCTGGATATCTTAATGGCACCTGGAGTGAAACATGTTCAAACTGAATTCTCTTTTTGTCTCCTTTTCCTCCCTAATCCCATGCTTCTTCCTATTTTCATGGATGGACTACTTCTCACGTGGTATCAAAAACCTGAATTGTCATAAATTTCCACTTCTTATTGTGCCCCACATCGTTGTATCAAATTCTGTCAATTCAGCACCCTAATGTATCTCTATAACATTTGTTATCTTCGTTCCAAAGCTCTCTTCCCTGTATTAGTGTTTCTAGTCTTTCTCATAAACGCTGTTGTTTTTTTCCCAAACTTCTTCCCCTCTTGTAGGACATCTTCCAGATTTTCCCTTGAGTGATCTTTCTAGTAAGTACATTTCATTTATGTGACTCCTCCACTCGGTTCTCTGGTAACCTCCATTTGCCTACAAGGTAACATCTAACCTTGTTAGCATAGTAACTTGGTACTTAGTGACCTGGCCAGCACCTCCCCGTCTGCTTTCATTTCTGACTATTCGTCTTTCCCTCTGTGCTCTGAGAATGCTGAACGATTGGTCATTCTACAAACAGCCATGATCTCACTTCGTCGCTTTGTGCGTACTCTTCATTCTCCTGTGTACTCCTTCATTCACCTTTACCTCCCTTATCCACTTGGCATAGAATTCCTTCTCATCTTTCATATCTTTGTGCAGTTGTCATCTGTTTGGTGAAGCTGCCCTTTAATCCCCTGGTGGACATAGTTTCTCCTTTGTGATTATTGTGCATTTTAGACCGCCGTCACTGTCTTCTAATACCTGGTGCATAACTCTTCTTCCTTTGTTCTTTTAGAAAGACTGTGTCCTTTTATTTTTAAATGCCTGGTGCTAAACATGGTACCTGTCATGCAGTTCATATCTAATACATTGAATGAAGGAAAAGGTAGCCTATTTATTGTTCAGTCTAAAGTCATTGTAAACTATTCTTCACTGATGGAATATTCATCTTTTTCTCACTTTTTTTCTTTTGTTTTGTTTGTATATAGGCCCTCTGTCATATTAGGAGTAACCAACCCTTTTTTCGCAAAAACACTTCAGCACTGGCCACACATTATTCGAATAGGAGACCTTAAACCTGCAGGTAAAGTATAAACTTGGTGTTCTGTTTTCAGTGTGTAATGTGGCTGAGCAGGTTTATTTCTTCCCCTTTGTTTTCATGTCTTGGTCACTTTTTAATTATGTTGATAGAAACCTTCTTTGAGGCAGTCTAAATAAGGCCTTTGGAGAAGAGTGCAACTTCCCACTAAAATATATAGGTCCTTATATTTGTGCACATGATGACCTCCTACCAGAAAATGCACTTACAGTGTTATAAACATGGTATGAATTATAACAAAGTGAAAACTCAAAAATTGGAGCTACCTTTTTTTATATGCAAGCCCAGTTAAACAGGGATTTCTAACACTGCTTGAATGAAACCTTATAGAAGCCTGAATTAGTCATCTTAACACACAATTCTTAGTTAAGTCTCTAAGGTACCTCTGACATTCCTTACTGGCCATTCCTGAACTTTCCATTGGAATAGTTGAGACGTGAGATATTGAAAATATTTCTTAATAACTTTGTCATGTGTTACAGACTTTTCTTGTGATATTCACAGGTATTGAAACATTTAATAATATTATTTTATAAAGTATCTCTTCTGGTGTATACACAAATCTAGATAGATAGAGTCAGGGAACAACATTTTACATCAATTATTTACAAATATTAGACTCAATCTTAAACTGAAATCCTTAGAAGCCTTATGTATTAGAGGAAGGAGCAAAGGGCTTCACTGTGGCAGTCAAATCTGTGTGATTTTAGGCAGAACAGCCTCTTTAAGCCTCAAATTCTTTGTCTGCTAGGAGCTTTAAATGCAGGGTCTGCCTCATGGCACTCTGTAGGTGTCATGATCCCCTGCCATTTCATTAGGGAACTGTCTGATTATTAATGGTATTGTAGAGCACAGCAGTCACCTGAGTCTTAGGTAAGAAAAGGTATGACGTTTTTTTTTCAAATCTTAATTTAATCTTGACACTTTCATTGTTTCGTTCTATTAATCTAGACTGTTTGATTAGTTGTAATATAATAGACTACTGTCTTTTGAAAAAAGGCTCTTTGTTGGGATGTAAGTAGAGGAACTTTTGCATAAAATCATTGGTAAAGTAGCATGAATTGAGAAGTTTAACTTTTTAAGAAACTGCCAGATTGTTTTCCAAAGTGCCCCACCAGTTTACATTCTCAACAGTGATCCTTTCCAACATTTGGTATTGTCTGTCTTTTTCCTTAGAGCCACTTAGTGGGTTTGAAATGGTGGTTTTAATGTGCTCTTCCCTAGTGCCTGATGATGTTGAGCATCTTTTCATCTACTTACTAGTTGTTTGTTTATCTTTGATGAAATGTTGATTTAAATCTTTTGCCCATTTTTAAACTTAGGCTATTTGTTCTATTTAGTTGTAAAAGCTCTTGACATAAGCCTGCTTTCAGATATATGACTTGAAAATATTTTCTCACAGTATGTGGCCTTTCTTTTTGGTTTCTTTTGAAGCGCACATGTGTTTAACTTTTTCTCCAGTTTTATTGAGATATAATTGACAAACAGCACTGTGTAAGTTTATAGTGTATAGCCTAATGGCTCTAGCTTGTCAAGAGGCCCAGTACCACAGGGGCTTGCCTGATAACAGGGCACGCGCAAGGTCTGAAGATCTTGTCTGAAAGTAACCAACTTCTAAATCTAATTAACATTGTAGTTTTATCCTCTCTGTGTGCTTTGCTTAGGTCCTTATGGGTAAGATGCCTGTGCACTGAGAAAAGGTTATATAGCCTAGCGCTGTCAATCATCCTGTCGATCAAAGGACAGAAGACACATGGCAGAACTTCTGCCATCTTAAGAAATAAAAGCCAAGCAAACACTAACAGTGGAGCTGCTTCTGTTTCTGCTCAGGAGAAGTACCCTACAGTGCATGTACTTTGTCCTCCAGGCTTTTTTCTCTTCAGACTCCTTTGAGTAACACAGCAGCCCAGCTCGGGAGTCCTCAGGAGTCTGAACTGCAGTTCAGACCTGTTGTGGCTTACACTATTCCCCTCCGGTGGCTGTGAGAGTGTTAAATGCAGATTCAACCCTGTCATCTTACTCCTCTCATCCACGACCCTCCGTGCCCACACTTTCAGTCTCTCAGTTTTTGTATATGTCAGACATCTTTATAGTTCTTCCTGATCTGACCTGTGAATACTTCTCTGGCTTTGTCTCCTGCCCCTCTTTGCATCTTCTCCATTCCTGCCTGTATAGGGTGGTAGATAAGAGCTTCACTCTGCAATTGGACTGCCTTATTTCATATCCCGATTCAAGCATATTATCTGCATGTTCTTGCACAAGTTGTCTGTTTATGACAAGAGGTAACACCTCATCTGAAGGGGCATTGGCCAATCAGAGTAGATGATGGCAGTAGACAGCCGGAACTGGTGTGGACCAGATGAACATCAGTTTTGGCCATGCTTTAATGTCTGCATCTGTGAGATGGGTATGACAAACATGCTTATATTGTGAAGATTAAATGAGATCATTCATGCAGGGCTCTTAGACCAGAGACTGGCGGAGATAAATACTGAGTAAATGGTGGCTGTTAATATTCTAACCATTACTTCAACTCTTCAGGCAACATGTTCTTCATGCTTCTGGAATGACCTCTTTACCAAAAATTTCTTTTTCCTTTGGATAACTTTTTATTTTTCTTATAAGACTGTTTTTAAATATTGCCTTTTTTAGGAATCCTCAATAATTTTTTCTCTCCTCTGGCCAGGATACTTTTCTCTATTTCCATAGTATCTTGTTCATAATTTTACCTTAGCATTTTCCCTTCGGTATTGTCATTTGTCTTAATGTGCCAGTAGATTATGAGCTTCTTGATACCAGGAATCAGTTGTTTTGTTCTTTTATTACCAGTTTCTTGTATTTACTAACTGCCGAATCAGTGAAAAAATAAGTCTGGGTATCTATGCTGTTGACTTCTTTAACAAGTATCTGTTTAATGTTATTACTGGAGCAGTTGATAAAATTGGACTATGTAGACTATACTATTCTGCAGCTTTTCTGTAAGACTGAAGTTATTTGAAAGTAGGAGTTTATAAAAATATCTTTTACCATAGTTCATGCTCTTAAAAATTTTTAACTATAGACAATTACAAGTAAAAATGCTCTATGTTGCAAAATTCCACTGCTGTAGATAAGTCTAGTTAGCAGTTTGATCTATGTTAACAATTTAAACAAAAATATTTTGTAAATTTACACTTCAGTTAGGTCATCTCTAGATTGTCTTTCAGTTCTTAGGTTTGCTTATGCAGAGAGGGAGGATGGAGAAAAGAAAGAAAGAACGTCTGTACACTTGTGTTTGTCTTGAGGCATTTTTCTGTCTGTTAGAAGGGTTGTTTATATTGTAGCTTCTCTTGACCTGAAGACCAGAACCACTGCATCTGCTGCACAACTCATTCCGATAACCAAGTCTTGTCCATCTGTGCGCTGGCCTGGGGTTGTGACATATGCTGTCACCACCTGGTGGCAGTGTTCCTTTCTCCAACGCAAAAGCAGAAAAGAATGAATAACTACATCTCTGTACCAACTTAGGAGTTGCTTTCAATTCAAAAGACATTTTTATCTCTGGCACATCAATTTTCAGTTTCATGTATTTGGCACAAAGATTTAAATTACAAGTTGAGTGACAAAAGGGAAAATTTTTAGTAATAGATATTAATGAAAAATCAAATGCCCATTTTATATAATTTGTACAAATTGTTGCTATAATACTGTAATAACCCAGTGTTCCCTTTATCCGGTTTTAAAATACCCGGAATAAACTCTTGAATATTGATGCTGAGAAGAGTACTTTAACTACCACATCTCTAAGTAATAAGCAGTAGATTATTAATCTTAAAAAATTTCAGTTTTGTGATATGTGAGATTTGAATAATTATGAGCATCTTTATGATTTTTCCTTCAGGTGAAATTCCTAAGCAGGTTAAAGTAAAAAAATTGAAGAACCTAAAGACTCTGGATTCTAAACCTGGTATTGACTTATATTAATTTTTAAATATATACTTATATGGGTACTTGGGTCTTAGTTTCTTATTTTTTTATTTAGTTCCTTATTTTCTTTTCTTCTTAGGAGTTTATACTTCCTATAAGCCATATCTAAATAGAGATGAAGAAATCATAAAACAATTACAGAAGGTAATTACTTGCTCATTTTATAAATTTCCTTGTTCAGGTATGTATGCAATACCCAATTAGGCAATATGTGCTTTATGTATAATAACGTGAAATGAGGTCTGTGTTTTGAACCAAAGCTTCATAAAAATCAGGAGACCAAAGTAGCAGCAATAAAGGACCTGGCTGCAGCTACAAATCTTTCTAGAAGCTTGGGAGTTACAGTGAAAAAGTCAGAGTCTGCCATTAGGTAGACTAGCATTTAACAGTAGGGGACAGTTAGCATTCTTTTTTGGAAAATGTAATAGTTAATACAACAAGTATGAAATAAAGATAGTCTTTGTTGTGAACTGATAACTTTTCGTATGGGTTGAGTGTCTTATGTTTTGTTGGGTTTCTAAGGATTCTTTTCACAGGATATTGCACAGTGAACTTCAGATTAAATTACTCCAAGATGAAGGTCTACGTTTTTTTTAATGTCAAGTAAAAATATATATTTATTTATCCGTCGAACCTCTATAATTATCTATTCTTTTCTATTCCCTGACACAAGAATATAGGTTCTCACTATTTCTCTTTTAAGGGTGTACAACAGAAACGTCCCTCTGAGGCTCAGAGTGTTATTCTCCGACGCTATTTTTTGGAACTGACACAAAGCTTCATCATTCCGTTAGTAAGTTAACATCTATATTTGCTCAATTTAATGATTTGCTGAAGGATATATGAATGTTATTTCCATTAAGTTAACATCTATATTTGCTCAATTTAATGACTTGCTGAAGGGTATGTGAATGTTATTTCCATCCACCAAAACCTTATCTTAAGTTGTGTGTTTTGCCTGTTCTTGTGTTTAGTGATTAAAAATAGAGCCCTTTGCAAGAGACCTGGACTCTTTGTCCTTAGCTTTGCTAAGTCACTTCTTCCCTCTGACCCTCAATTTCTTTATCTGTAAAATGTGGCTTATTCTGCTTATCCTACATGTCTTTCAGGGTTGTTGTGAATCTTAAATGAAATAATTCTTGTGAAGTATTATGTAATTATTACATTTTGCACCTCAAGAGGAGGTTTTCCTAGAGCTTCTTTCTCTGATATTATTTTCTTGAGCACAATTTGATAAGATACCCATGTGACTATTTCCGTGATAACAGAGGCCTTATCTGTCTTATTCATTAGCTTTTCCTCAGTCTGGCATATGGTAGCACTCAATAAATATTTATGGAGTAAATAGCTGTGTGATATGATCATTCTGTGAAATTCAATGGAATATTGTATTAAAATATTGAAAGATGCCTCTCAGTATCAGGCAGTAACATGATATTCTAGTGGGGAGGCTGCATCAGAAACAGATTCCATGCAGTTATTAATGTACAGTAATCTGTCTGTGAATATTATATGGGGGCGATCTGGAGATCTTTGTTACTATATTTTGGGAAGAAATTTCTTGGTCTGTAGATGTCAGTTTGTTTTGTTCCACCTAAATCTGCTTGAGTAGCTGAACTTCACTGCAGTGCTTAAGAGCATGGGCTGAAGTCACGTAGGCCTGAATTCAAGTTCAAGCTGTGTGATCTTGGGCAGGTCACTTAATCTTTCTAAGCCTCAATTTCCCAATAATACCTGCCTGCCTCACAGTATGGATTAAAAGGGGCCATGTACATAAAATGTTGAGTACCTTTTCTGGCACATATTATTAAAAATATGTGGTCCCTTGGATTAGGTAAGATTTAAATTTTTATGGAAAGTCTGACTTCTCAGTTAAATCTAAATTTAATTTTATCTGTTGTGGGGAGTGATGGTATTGTTGATGCTCGTTGAAAGAGCGTATGATGGAAACCCATTTCTTTTAAGTTAAGTCTGTTGAAACGTTTTTGAAGGCTGTCTAGGTAAAAATGCTTAGCTTTGATTAACTTTTTCTCTTGGTTTTAGGAAAGATATGTGGCAAGCTTAATGCCTTTGCAGAAAAGTATTTCTCCGTGGAAGGTATAAATATATTCACTTAAATTCCTACTTGAGTTGTCTAACTGTAATTAACTTCTATGAATACATCCACTTATAATTTTTAATACAGTATATACTGTCTCCTAGAGTCCACCCCAGTTAAGACAATTCCTTCCAGAAGAATTTATGAAAACACTTGAGAAAACAGGACCTCAGCTGACTTCTAGAATAAAAGGCGATTGGATTGGACTTTACCGGTTAGTCTTTTTTTTCTTGTTTACCCATCTGTTTTGCTTTATTTAACAAAACAAAACAAAACAAAAGCTGGACTTAAACTTACATTCTTTTTAAAAAATTCCATTGCTTCACGTGGTTGTCCAAGCTGTAGAGAGGAAAGGTATGGAGGAGAGGAGGCAAGTCATAATGAAACTTTGCTTTTTAAAATTTATTATTATAGGCATTTCCTAAAATCTCCAAATTTTGATGGTTGGTTCAAGACCCGGCGGAAGGAAATGACCCAGAAATTGGAGGCACTCCATCTAGAAGCTCTTTGTGAAGAGGTTAGAGAACAGCATATTTCTGTGATGATTAACAACTATTCAAATTAAGATAAGTTATCCTTCGAGGCTGGAAGATTATAGCCATATCCACTACTTAGTAAATTAAAATAGCTAACCTTTCTAGTTCATGCACTATGTGCTAAGGACTATAGGTGCTGTATATGAATAATGTCTTTTCATTTTCACCACAATTCACTGAAGTGGGCATGTTACGATCTGCATTATGGGACACCTGAGGAGTGTAATTTAAATGATTTGCTCCAGCTCACATCACTGCCAAGCAGTTGAGCTGGCCGTGAGCTGGAGCCCACTTGAATTGGCTGGCAGAGCTGACTGTGTACATCACCCTCCCAGCTCTGCATTCAGGTATCTCAGGTTGGAAGCTTGAATCAGCTACAGTGGAAGTATTACACCATAGAGATTTTCAAATGCTACAAACCGGAGACTTTTCTGGAGAACCCATTGTTAAGTAATTTACTAGTGTTCCTCTGGATGGAATCAGGCTTCTATTCCAAGCATACTAAACCCAAGTCTTTCTCAGTTACTGTTAACAACTTTTTCCTGTATTTGGACTGGCTTTTTATATTCTATAATTTTGGAGCCTATTTTAAATTAAGCTACATATGAAAACATAAAGGACAGCCTCATTTCCTTTGTGTTTCGCTTGAGGTGGGATGGCTTTAGTGTTAACTTTCTAATCATCATCTCCCAGCGAATCGTTTTGAGAGAAGGAACATGATGAAGGCAACCACGGATGAGTCCAAGATGAGCTTATTTGCAGTTCAAAAAGTATTTTGAGTATTTACTAATTTAGGATCTGTTTATTCTTCTAGGACTTACTTCTCTGGACCCAGAAACACACGGAAGTAGAAACAGTAGACCTTGTACTGAAGCTAAAAAATAAGCTGGTATGTAGCCCAAACAGCCAAAGATCTGTGAAGACATTTTCCTCGTATTTCGGGTGACAGCCCATGATAGAGCAGAAGTAACTTCTAAATGAGAGGACTTGAGTAGTCAATTGGTGGTAGGTCTGACTGAAAATATTCGGTCACTCAAGCAGATCATAATGATGACATACTATCTTTAAAGGGATTTACATGGAGTCTAATGAGCTCCACAAAAAGCCATTGTCACTTACATTTGATACCACATGGTATGTGTAGGTATTATTAATTTACATAGGAGTCTTTTATGGAGCTCAGCAATGCATTGTTTAAATGGCATGTTGTTTGCTTTTTTACAGTTTCTGTAAATTCTGGTCTAAGCCTAAAGTTTCCAAATCATTAAACCTTAGAAGTGTTTATTTAAAGAATATAATGTATCAATAACGACTCAGAGGATATTTTAAATGTTCTTTCCAAATGTTCCCTCTGTAGTTGCAGGCTGATCGAGAGCATTTACCTGTGAAACCTGACACTATGGAAAAGTTACGGACACACATAGATGAAATTATCTTAGCATTGCCAGAGGACCTACAAGGCATACTGCTCAAAACGGGCATGACATGATATTTGCCAGGACTGTCCAGCCAAAACAGACTGTGCACCATGAAGCATACTGACATTTCAACCGGACGCACAAAGGAGATCATCTCTCGGAGTGGAAAATAGCTGTGAATGCTAGTGACAGGGTGGAAAGATGATACTGTATAAACAGACTTTTTAGTGCATTATTTTTAAGAATGAATATCCGTGGTGGTTCCACTTTAATACTGAAACACCGAAAGGCATTTCTGTATTTTTAATCATGTTCTAAAGTGCTCTTATGAGAGACCTGTGGGGCCATCGTTATAAGTGATTCCAAACTGCAGTGCTGGCATTGCAGATATTTTTTTAAATTGGTGCTGCTTTGCCCAATCATGTTAAAACTCAGGGGGATATAAAAATAACATTCACACTGGCTGTCTTCTTAAGAAGAAGGAAGACTCAACTTTAAACTGTAGTTAGAAGGGATGAATGCTTTTGTAGTGCCTTCTGTTGTCCTACATGTTTCATACAGCCCAGCTGCTGATCTTGAAGCTTTTTCTTAACTTGATTATAATCTGTAATTTTGTAAGGCATTCTTCTGAGCAATCATTGCTTAAAAATACATTTATTGCCCCCCATCATGCTTATTGAGTAGTGGCTTTTTTTTTTAATTATCAAGGTTTCATTTTATTATTTTTTATACCATTTTCAAATTTAATCCTATCAGTTTCTTCAAAGGCAAAGAGGCATCTAATATTAATTATGGAAGAGTTTTTATTTCCTCTTACTCTTTACTAATTGGACCTGGTTAACTTAATTAGCTTGGATATTTTTCAAAGATATTCTAATTATAAATCTCAATCAGCTATTTTTAAAACTGAGCTATTCTTATTTCAGAGGCATTCATAAACCTTTTATGTGACAGTCATTTGAGTGATCATAAGATTGATTTCCAGTGTTACTTGTTTGGTAGGGTTTTCTCCCCCAAATTAACTTTTCTCAGAACACTTTCCATCTTATTGTACATGCTAACTTTTGCTTGAATCACTGTTCTAGCTAGCTTTGTCATTGCTGTTTGTCTTTGTTTCTCTTTTGTTTTGTTTTAACTATACTGCCTTGCCAAAAATAGAAGATTGTGGTTTGGTAGAGTAAGGTTTCTTAGTTTGTGTTTGGAGTGTCCTGCAGAAGCCACTATTTAAAATAGGCACACCTGACATAGCCCATATGTAAATAGCTGTGTCTTGAATTATCCTCTAAGTAACCAAATTTAGTTGTATGTGTTTGTAAAAGAAATGGCTTCAGAAACTATGACCTTGTTTGCTGTTGATATAACTCTTAAGGGCACTCCTGACCCAAGAAAGGCTCCTTATGTTTGTAACTGTGGTCTTATACTCAATGTGCCCTTTTGTCCTGGATACAGTCTCTTGAAGCATACCTCAAAGTCATAGAGAGAATATGGCATTTGAAAGAAATCGTTTGCCTTGGATCATAGGAGTTATTTTATTAAACAACAGTTGTCCTTATGGAAAAGGAACAACTACTTTTATATGATAAAGTATTTCATATCTTTCTGGGAAACCTTATTTAGGTATAAATGGCCATCTTATTATTTTTCAAAAAGGTGTATTTTAATAATCTTACTATTTATAGGCAGTTTGTGACCAGAGTTTAAAAGTTGTTAATGTCATATCAAGATCTTTTAAATTATACCACTCCAGGATGTATCATTTCAAGTTTATTTTGCACAGCTGAAGAGTAGCAAAGGATGCCAATTAGCATAATAATGGTATCTTCATATTACTGTATTTAACTAAAATCTAACACATGTTAAAAACCATATCATACTTAACTGGTTTACCTATTAACGTCACATTATGGACTTGTAAAAAAACAGCTTAAAATTGCGTTGGGAACCTGAGAAAGACTGACTGGTAACTGAATTTTTTGAGTGATTTTCAGAGTTGTCCTTTTCTCTTTTTGTTTTTTGAGGACACATTGTTAAGATCTAAAACCTGCCATTTAATGTTTATTCTCCACCAGCATCAGAAGGAATCACTGCTTTCAGTGTGTTATGTGATGCCTAGTGCCTTCTGTTTTCAGTGAGAAAGAGGTTTTGTGAAGGCATCTATGGTCATTACCAAAAACTGAATTAAAGGCCTTGGATTTTAAAGCACTTGGGTATCTTGCATTATTTCTGAGTTAAGGATGGAATGCTTGGAAAAAATGCATATAATCAATGAAACCTGTGCATTATGGGGTTCCTTTTATTTCCTAACTTAGTTTTTCAATTTGAATGTAAATTCTTCTGTTTTATTTCATTATGAACAATTGAACAGTTCAGCTTACTAACAGGCAGATCAAGTAAGTGACTTTTAGCAGTGTATCGATTTTATGAAATGTTCTGATGAAAATTTTTTAGCTTAATAATCTAGGGATTGTTAGATTCTCCTCATTTTCTACCTTTTCTTTTTATAACCTTAAATGTCAAATTACTTTTATTTCTGCCTCTTCCTTTTTAGGTAACAAGCATATGCTACTGATTTATTTGTTACTAATAAAACATAGTGGATGTTATTTCTTTTTGAAGTTACTGGGTAATAGCCTTCAAAGTATATTATGAAATATTTCAGTACATTTAAAAGAGATGCCATTAAAATTTCTCCTTTTGTTATCACTTGCTCATACTTAATCCATTTGTTTTTATACACCTGAATTTTACTAACTTTCTCCTTCTAGCCCAACGTGGGAGAAAAATTAATTACTAACTTGCTAATATTAGTTCTCTAAAAACAGATAATTAAAGAAGACAGTAAATTTCTCTAACTATGGATAAATATTTTAATAACTATATATATATAATATATATTTTTGCCACTGGCTAACATTTATTTATTTATTTTTTATTATGGTTTCATTAATTACAGTCACATGAGCAACATTGTGGTTACTAGATTCCCCCCATTATCAAGTCCCCCCCGACATACCCCGTTACAGTCACTGTCCATCAGTGTAGTGAGATGCTAGAGTCACTACTTGTCTTCTCTGTGCTATACTGCCTTCCCTGTGCCCCCCCTACATTATGTCTGCTAATCATAATGCCCCTTAATCTCCTTATCTCTCCCTTCCCCCTGCACCCTCCCCAGTCCCTTTCTCTTTGGTAACTGTAAGTCCATTCTTGGGTTCCATGAGTCTGCTGCTGTTTTGTTCCTTCAGTTTTTTCTTTATTCTTAAATTCCACAGATGAGTGAAATCATTTGGTACTTGTTTTTCTCCATCTGGCTTATTTCACTGAGCATAATACCCTCTAGCTCCGTCCATGTTGTTGCAAATGGTAGGATTTGTTTTCTTCTTATGGCTAAAGAATATTCCATTGTGTATATGTACCACATCTTCTTTATCCATCTACTGATGGACACTTAGGTTGCTTCCATTTCTTGGCTATTACAAATAGTGCTGCAATAAACATAGGGGTGCATATGTCTTTTTGAATCTGGGATCCTGCATTTTTAGGGTAAATTCCTAGGAGTGGAATTCCTGGGTCAAATGGTATTTCTATTTTTAGTTTTTTGAGGAACCTCCATACTGCTTTCCACAATGGTTGAACTAATTTACATACCCACCAGCAGTGTAGGAGGGTTCTCCTTTCTCCACATCCTTACCAGCATTTGTTGTTTGTCTTTTGAATGTTGGCCAAAAGAACAAAATATATTAATTCATAATAATGACTAAATTATCATTAGCAATTTGATATCCTTTCATATATCCAAGATATAATACAAATGTGCCATCTACACCTTGGTTGAATTATGGTATTTATTATTATATAAAAAATTAGCATTTGTTAATAAAATTAACTTGTATAATTTTTTTCCAATTATCCTTCCTTGTTTGTTTGAAATAGATAAAGCAGTTTGATATAGCAAACTGAATCATGACTCCTACTAAAATATCCCACATCTAACCAATTTTTAGAAAACCAAGTTTTAAGTTGATGGTTGGTTAATGAAATAAGTTCATGACGTTTATTTTACAATTATAGGGTTGCCTATTTCAACACACAGATGTTAAGGGAAAGAAAAGTTGGCAGTCGAATTCTGCTATATCCTATTTTCTAAGTGTTAACTTCTGTACTTTTAACACCAACCTTTCTGTGCTACCCATTACTTGAATGCCACACTATGACTTTCTCCAAATTAAGATTACTGGTAAGTAATAATCATAGGTTTCATTCATTTTAGTATCATCACTACTGGGCATGGCTTCTATTTATTTTTGCCTCCCCTTTGTCTTTATTGGAATAACACCATTTCTGCTTAGCCATTAGATGACAAAACTTCAGGAATCCTTCATCTTTTTCCCTGTCCCTTATGTTTTTCCATTTCAACCAATATGAACACATGTAGTATAAACTGCTAGTAGATTGATTGAGATACTTTCAGAGAAAAGTAACTTTATATTCCAGAATTGTCATATTTGCTATTTAGTAAATGGATTTTTAAACTTCAGTAGAAAACTATTGAAATGATTGATTTTGATCTAATGAAATGGGAAAATATTTTTATAGCCAGGGGCTCTGGTGGTAGAACCCAGCAATTTGTGTTTTTAAGAAACAGCTTTATTAAAATATAATGGACATACAATAAACAACACATTTTAAGTACATTTTAATAAGTTTTGTTATTTCAGTACACCCATAAAACCATCATGCATCAAGATAGAAACATGTCTGTCACCCCCCCAACATCCTTCACACTCCTTTGTGCTTTTTCCTGCCCCCTCCCCCTCCCAAAACAGCTGCTGACCTGTGGTCTGTCACTATAACCTAGTTTGTGTATTCTAGAGTAGTATATAAGTGGAATGACATAGTATCTACTTTGCTTTTGATTGAAGTATAGTTGATATACAGTATTATTATTTTCATGTATACTATTTTTTCTTATTTTTGTTTTCTTTCTTAACATTATATTAATACAGAATTTATTTGTCTTCCCTTTGTCAAACCCTGAACCAACCACTTTCCCTAGGCTGCCTTGGGACTTACAGGAAAAGGAAGATACAGGGTATATGAAACACGGAAGAAAGAACAATGAGAAGTGGAAAGGGCTCCTTAACATGGCAAAGAGAATGGAAAGGGCTGCCTGCCATCAGGCAAAAGAGCCTCTGGGCCTCAGAGGGCAAAACCCACAATGGCATAGAAGAGCTGTTGCTTCGGAGAAAAGTTGCTGGCACAGTAATGATGAAGCTATTAAACACAGTCCCAGCCCCAGCCCCAGTGAACTGGGCTGCTGTGTCAATGTCCCTTGAAATGGCAGTGTTTTGGAAGTTATGGCTAGGGATAAGTGAGGTCAGGGGACATGAAGCTGCAAAGCTCTTGAGACTCTCATTTGCCAGTAACTCTGGTCATTTCAGCACTACTCCAGATGGTGGTCAGCTCTGCAGCTGAGAGGTACTCCTGACCAGGAAGTGGGTGGAGACAAATTTGGGATAGGTGTGCATTTTCAGCAAATGAGGCTGTGGCAGGACAGTGCTCCCAGTGCAGAGAGAGGTCTAACTTTCATGCAGCATAATGATTCTGACATTCATTAATGATGCACGTATCAATAGTTATTATTGCTGAATAGTATTCCATCATATGGCTATAACCCAAATTCCTTATCCACTCACCCGTTGGTGGACATTTGGGTCATTTCTAGTTTTTGACTGTTAGAAATAAAGGTGCTGTGAACACTCATGGGCAAGTCTTTGGACATATATATATCCTTTTCTCTTGGGTAAATTCCTATAAGTGATATGAGTGGGATAATTAAATCATATGAGAGGTGAGTGTTAACTTGATAAGAAACTGCCAAGCTGTCTTCCAAAATGTTTATACTAACTTGTTTCCACCAATTGTGTTTGAGAATTGCAGTTTCTGCACATACTAGCCAACACTTTGGTATGGTCAACCCTTTAATTTTAGCCATTCTAGTAGGCTTATATTTCTAGCTTATTGGAATTTTAATTTGTAGTTTTCTAATGACCTGTGATGTTGAACATCTTTTCTTGTGCTTATTAGTCATCTGTATCTGTTTTTTGGTGAAGTGTCTGTAAAATCTTTTGCTGATTTTTAAAATTGCATTGTTTAACTTCTATATGGTTGAGTTTTCAGAGTTCTCTGTATATTCTTGATACAGGTTCTTTTTCATATATATGGTTCACAGCGATTTCCCCTCTACCAGCTTGTGAATTATATTTTTCATTTTCATAACAGTATCTTTTGAAGAAGTAGAAGTTTATGACTTTCTACACAAATTTCTCCTAGTGTTTTAATTCTGATTTATCAAATCTATAAATTGGGGAGAGAAGTGACATTTTAATAATATTGTCTGATCCATGAACAAAGTATTATCTCTCCATTTATTTATATCTTAGTTCTTCTCAAGCAATACTTTGTAGTTTCCAGGGTACAAATATTTCACATGTCTTGTCAGCATATTTATCCCTAATTGTAGTTTCCAGGGTACAAATATTTCACATGTCTTGTCAGCATATTTATCCCTAATATTATCCCTAATACATTGCCTGTCATGTTTTTGGTGGTGGTGTCATGACAGTTTTAAAAATTTGAGGTTTCGATTTTTCATTCAAAAGTTCAGTTCAAAATACTAGTATATAGTTGATCTTTATATACTGATAATGTATTCTGCAACCTTACTAAACTCATTTATTCTAGTAGCTTTTTTGGGTATATTGCGTCATATTTTTGACAGAGAATGTCATTCCGTCTATGAATAAAGACTTTCTCTCCTTTTCAGTCTAGATGACTTTTTATTTTTCTTGTCCGATTGCCCTGGCTAGAACCTGTAATACAATGTTGAATAGCATTGGTGAGAGTGGACATCTCTGTCTTGTTTCTGATCTTAAAGAGAAGCATTCAGCCTTTTAATATTAAGAACTATGTTGGCTGTAGGGTTTTTGTGTCCTCTATCAGGTTAGTGATGTTCTATTTCTAGTTTGCTGAGAGTTTCTGTTAGGAATGGGCTTTGGATTTTGTTAAATGCTTTTTCTGAATCTTTTGAGATGATCATATATATGACTCTTCTCTTTCAGTTTGTGAATAGATTGGTTTGTTAACATTAATTAACTTTTGAATGTTAAACCAACTGTATTCCTGGGATTAACCCCACTTGG